ACCCCCTGTCCATGAAACTCGCGTTCCCACCCGCAGCCGCGGTTCCCTACTCCGCGCGCCGAATTTCTCCCACTCCCGGAGTCTTCATCACCTCACAATCCTTTACCACACGCTGTCACTTTTGTATTTGCGGCGAGCTCAAGGAGACGGTGTACGTGAACGCTTTCTTAGAGCGATGGTGGTGGGAGGGGGAGGGGGAGGGGAGGAGGAGGGGGGAGAAGCAAGCAGCGAGCGTCGCGGGAGTTAAATGTAAGGGGCAGCGGGGGCATGAGTAGTGTAGAGGAGGCAAAACAAGGAAGAGAGAAGAAGCAGAAAAGCGCACTGATTAAATTCTCCCATTTTCTGAGAAACAAAAGAGTACTTCCACTTACTTTTTATCTTTGTTTTGATATTTTCTTCTTTTCTTTATTTTTAACTTTCATTTTCAACGAGAATGCAAGTACATATTGTAGATAATGATGCGTATTTGACGTACACGCAAAAGATAAGAGACCGACGGACGTTTGAGCATTTTGAATTTTCTTTTAAGAATCGAAGAGAATGTTCGACTTTCATGGAACACGAAAATCGTCCCAACTATCTTTATCATAATTATATTGGATCCAGTTTATAATAAATTTATAATTATTTATTATAATTATTTAATATTTAAATGCAGGCTTATGAAAACCATTTTCAATTATCAAAGTAACGTAGCACTGATTTTTACAAAAATTTTGGAGCCTCGAGTATCCTTATTTTATAATGAATTCTAAATTTCATTTATATAATAAGTTGAGGAAGTTCATACTATTGCAATTCGTAGATATTATTTATTATTAATATATTAATAATATAATCGTAATCTAATACAATTGTTTGTACTTAATTTGCATTTAATAGATAAAATAAAATAAAAAAAAAAACAGTCACTGAAGAAATAATTATATAAAATTTTGAGAGTTATACCGTAATTTGTTAGTCATTATAATAATACATTTATTGAATACTTTGTACAATGTCCGGTTTAAACGGCAAGAGGAAAATTGTTGTACCTTAAAAGCTTATTAAAAAAAAAAAAAAAAAAAAAAAAAAAAAAAAAAAAATCGATGATTTATATTTCTAACTGCAGTATCGTGAGCTGTTCAAATATAAGAATATTATGAAATATATGTGAGTTATATATTACAAACAATTAAAAATAAATTAATGTCAAATATCTATAGAAATTTTTTTTTATTATCTATTCATTTTCACAAAAGAAAGAGACAAGAAAAAATTGTAAAATGGTATATTATAATATAATTCAACAATTTAAATTATCAAATGTTTAGGTAGAAGAGGTCGAGATATTATACAGACACTTGTACAAACATTGAAACAGTAATTCTTATTCATTTTATTTCTTTCGAGAATCGATAAATGTTTTTTATTTAAAACAGCCGGAATTAGCGATAAATTTGGTTTAACAAAATATATTTATAAATACACTCGAGTATTCGACATATATTCAATAATAATATTATTAATAATAAAGAAACTAATAAAAACAAGGATAAGAATCAGCATTAAAATATAATAATATAATAATTTTTGTTTATCGTAAAATCTAAGGAAAATTAATAGTTTATACAAGTATTGCAGTATTGCAGTATTGTAGTAAATAAAGTTTTTTGCTATTCGCTTCTGTCTAGTTTCCCAGAAACTAAACAGACCTGTATGATAATTGAATTGAATAATTTCTATTTTTAGAAATAATAACAGAAATTTCTTATTGTCAAAAAGCTAAAATTTAGGTAGAAATGTAATCTTATCTATTTATGCAATTACATCACGTCTCCTAAATAAATAAACGAATAAATAAATAAATAAATAAATAAATAAATAAATAAGTAAATAGATAGATAAATAAATGCAAAGGAAAAAAATAATAAATATGTTGTATGGTATCATTCTCTTAAAATGTATAATTGCAGACGCGTGTGTATATTTGTATAAAACAGATAATGTTTGCGAAAATATTACGGCAATAAAGAAAAGCACGTATATATCCTTTCCAATGTAATTCCAGATATACACGAACGCGCGCCGAGAGAGGCTTGGTGTGGTGGGATGGGGCGAGGTGTGGCGGGGCTCGGGGGTAGTGGCGGGACGGCGGGGCGAACGGTGGCCATGCGGGGAAGGGGAAATACGAGGAGTAAGAGAGTCAGAGACCGATGCCATTGGCAAAACAAAGACAGTGATACTAGCGCACTACATACACAGTTCGGGCTTGATTTAATCATGAAAGTATATTATTTTCTTTCCGAGCTTTTCGTTCCTTTTCCGTTTTGACTCGTAATTTATTTTAGAATTAGAATATTAGCGCGATTATATTCTCGCATATGCTCGTTTCTTTCTTTCATTTTTCCTTTATTTTAATTAAATAATTTATTTCGTTTATTTTTTTCGAGCTATCTTTAATAGACAATTTGGTATTCCTAATATTGTGAAAATCTATCTAATATAGGAAGACGTGGGTCGATGTCTAATTAAATATAAACGTAATAGTGAAATAATTAGTAACGTCAATAACGAAGACAAAGGATTATATTTCATTGAATATAAAGAGTATTGATTCACACAAATATATATGTTATATCGTTAATATTAATATTTGAATTTTTATTTTACCACCATAATGGCAAATAGTTTAATAAGAGATTTGGCTAATACTTAACGTGATAATGGTATAAGGTCCGCTACTTTTATAAAAATTTACTTAATAAGAGCATAAGCCCTAGAAGAATGGAAATTCTAATATTAAATTTGATTGTTTCAAATTCCAAATTATTCAACAAATTTTAATTGTATTTAATGGAGAATTAAACGTTGAAAATTTTAATCGAAAGATTTGAATATTTAATGATTATTCTAAGCCAAATATCTTCTTGTCAAAGAAAATCCTAATAAATAAAAAAGAGTAAAGAGAGATATTAAAAATTGATAAACTATTATCATTTACGTCTTTATTGGCGTACAAATTTCAAAAAAGTTTAAAACAAATTAACTTCAATTAATTTAATTAACGAATGAAAAATTTATGAGCCCAAACGAGAAACTATTATTCTATTTTAAAATACATTAAAATAAAATTCGATAGAATGAGAAATAAATCAATAATTAATACATTTAAAATTGATTCATAAATTCAATTTTATTATATTTTTGAATTATTTCAATCAAAATCATTACGCGATTTAATTAAAGGCTATTTTTTTTATTAAAGAACGAAAACATTTCATTCAAATTAAAAATGACTACATTGCTTCAAACCGATAAGCCATTTTTATTTTCGTAAAATAGTTGCGAAAAGACAATGTTTGGTGCTCTTTAAACAGTTATGACTTCACATTACATTTAGTGAAATAATAATTTTACGTATTTTTGATATTTATAAATGTTACTATTATTTTTCTTTAAGTAGAGTAATTACATGAAAAGAAAATATGGAAAATAATTTAAAAGGTAAACTATAATATAAATAGAAATGGAAGAGTTACCGCCGTAGATTTTATATTCCGTAAATAATTTTAATATTCGTGGAAGGAGAAATAAAAATAGTTCGTTCCTCAATACTTGAATAAGTTTATATTATACTTAACATAAATTTTATAAAATTAGATATTCTACTATAGTTAAACATTGCAATTTATAAAAGTGAGTTAAAGAAATTTATTTTATTGATGATTTATACTTGATGTATAAAAATTTGAGATTAAAAAAAAAAAGCATTGACAAGTTATGGAGGGTTGGAAAGGCTACACTTCAAAGATAAAAATAAGGAATTTCGGTTATTAAAATTTATTTCCATGACATTGGAAAATTACAGTACATTCATATAAATGTTTCGAAACACTCGTTATCGAAATATACTTTTCGCTCAATCATTGGAAATTCGAGCTGTAGTCGGAGCAAATGTACAAACTAATTGGAAAATTCCAAACGCGCTTTTAAAAACGAAAAGTCCATAGTGTGCGATATGATCTCCGGTGCTATTGAAGCCTTTGAAATGTCTTTCCCCAAATATCTAGATGTAATATGGAAACTCGGTAAAAAATTTGTCGCCCCAATAACGTTTAAAAGAGGAAAATTAGAAAATGAAAAGGAGATGAAGACTAGAAGAAGAAGAAGAAGAAGAAGAAGAAGAAGAAGAAGAAGAAGAAGAAGAAGAAGAAGATGATGATGATGATGATGATGATGATGATGATGATGATGATGATGATGATGATGATGATGATGATGATGATGATGATGATGATGATGATGATGATGAAGAAGAAGATGATGAAGAAGAAGATGAAGAAGAAGAAGAAGAAGAAGAAGAAGAAGATGATGATGAAGAAGAAGATGAAGAAGAAGATGAAGATGAAGAAGAAAATAGAGAAGAAGATGGAGAAGAAGAAAGAGAAGAAGAAGAAGAAGTAGATAAAACAACAAATAAATACGTCGGTATTATAAGCGAGGTAATAAAAAAAGGAAGCAGCGAAAGAGTGAGCGGGAAGAAAAAAATTCGTGGAGGAAGGCAAACTAGCTTATAGTGGCAACATATACACAAGTTCGACGTCGAGGCCGCGTAGTGGGAGCAAAAGGTCTGTGAGTGGGGGAAGACGCGAGAGCGCGGCTGCTTCTCGTCGGCGATGGTTGCAGTGGGGTAGAATGAGATGAGGAGGTTCGGGGTGGGGGAATCGGCAGCGGCACTGCTGCCGACGGGACACCGGGAGGCGGTGGTAGTGATGCGGGGTGGAGGCCGAGGGGACGAGGCGCGCGATGCTCTGGACGGCTACGGAGTGTAAAGGGAAATGGGAAGGGAGTGGGTTGGGATGAGAGGGAGGAGGAGGAGGACTGGCCGCACAGAATATCGTGTCGCCGCGCGCGAGTTAGGGTTATACATACATTGGCAAAGGAAAGCGCCAAGTGTAGTGATGTACGTGTATGTGTATATGTGTGTGCGCGTGCATCGCGAGTGTGCGTTGGCTTACCTCGATCTTATCCATTTCTCGGCGTCCGATTGTCACGCACTGACGATGCTGCCACGTTCATCTAGGAGATATCCTCGGTCACACGCACAGCCACCACTGAGAGATATATAGAGATAGAGGTAGAGATAGTGATAGTGACCGAGATAGAAATAGATATAGACAGATAGATAAGACAGAGTTAAATAGCGAGGGGAGGGGGAGGAATGAGAAGGAGAGGTAGAGCGGAAGAGAGAAAAGAGCACCACCACAACAATAACAATAAATAGACAACAATAACAGAACGAACGAACGAACGAACGAACGAACGAACGAACGAACGACAGGGGGAGGAATGAGAAGGAGAGGTAGAGCGGAAGAGAGAAAAGAGCACCACCACAACAATAACCGAACGAACGAACGAACGAACGAACGAACGAACGAACGAACGTTAAGATAAAGAATATCAGGGAATTTAGAAAAAGAAACAAACACTGATGTCGCGGTTCCTCAATATCTTCCTAGAATTCGGGGGGACGCGCCGTGGCACTTGGGACGTTGCATTATCTCGTATCCATTTGGTCGGCGACTCAAGTATGTGAGAGCTGCGCGGCCGGCGGCTTGGTGTTTAAATTCGAATCGCCGCCCTCGTCATCTCGTAGTCGTTGTCGTCGTCGCCGTCGATGTGGTGCGCGCGCGTGCGCGCGTTTTTCGAAAAAACTCAACGATCGCGTTGGCCAGCGGCAATCATCCCCGTGCTTACACTCGCGCACCGTTGCAACAACAACAACAAACACACAGGTACGCCGGCGAACGTATACACACTGATGATGATAATAATAACACACGCACAATATTATTAATAAACGACACACCGGCACGCACATGCATATATGTGCTCGCGTACATAACTATTTGGTTACCGTTAGCACGTGCGCATTGGCTTACATGTGTGGGTGCGCGTGCGTGCGTGTTTACCGATTACACTTGTATTATTGGCAAATATGCTGTACGAGGAGGCGGCGACGTCGTGCGGGCGAAGGACAGTGGCAATAATACATGTCATACGTATCCACGTACTTATGTATTTATGTATGTATGCTATGTACGTATTTATGCATCAATATAAATAATATCACACATGCCTACTACACGTACATGTACGTATATTTGTGTGTAAACACACACGCGGGCACACACAGGCGGACACAGAGAGAACAAAGAAAGAGAGAGAATAGAGAGAGTGATAGAGTGTGAGAGAGATAGAGAGAAGATCTATGTCCGCGCGTACATAGAGCGAGCGCACAACGCGGGAGTAGTAACAACAACGACGACGACGGCGGCTGCGGCTGCGGCTGCGGTGGCGGCGGCGGTGGCGGTGGCGGTGGCGGTGGCGGCGGCGGCGGCGGCGGCGGCGGCGGCGCCGACGGAGGCGGAGGCGAAGGCGGAGGCTGAGGCTGAGGCTGAGGCAGCGGCAGCAGCAAGAGCAGCAACGTCAACGGCGTCAACGACGGTAACAGGAGGAGCGGCAGCAGGAGGAGCGTGAGGAGCGCGCGGAGACGCAGCTCGACTCTCAGAGCGGTGCGACGCACGCCGCTGTCCCATCAAGACTACTTTGTATTTACTCTAATTATGTGACGTCACGGGGGATACAGTGCGCGAGGCTGGCCCCCACCATGGGGAGCCGTGAGCCGAGCCGGGCCGAGGGACGGCGAAGGGATCCGAGAGACGGCCGCTCAGTGACGGCGGCGCCGCTCGCGAGGTTAGGTTAGGATTGTGCCGCCGCTCGACGGGGGAAACGTCACCTATGCGCGCGCGCACACATAACTTACTGCTGTGATGCAGTTCGCGAGTCGGTGCGGTGCGCGGGTGCAAGTGAGACGAGCGGCAGCTCGAACTTTTTTCATTCGATATCCGTCACTTGCGCATTCACGCATTCACGCATTCACGCATTCACGCATTCACGCATTCACGCATTCACGCACGCACGCACGCACAAAGTCGAATCTCGTCTATGCGCGAGGCTAAACCAAACCTCTCTCTATGACACATACGCGTCTCTATTTTATTGTCAAGTGCTACTTCGAAATTGCTCAGATAATGATTTTTAATAAGCCAATCGATGATTTCTTACAATGACTCTTCCTCTTCTGTATTTTGGATTAATTTAGTTTATAGCCGATAATGCACCTTTTTTTGCCTTATTTTTCTAAATTGAATGATACATAATCTCGTTGGACATCAAGTTTTATGAATCCCAATGGAATTTAAATGAACGACAATTTTTTTCACATACTCACTTAACCATATGTAATAAAATAGGTAATATAAATATATTATATGACTGTACTTTTCCTCGTACATTTTCATTAATTATATGCTAAATTATTAAGCATATCAGAATAATGAAACGTTATTAATCGAGATATAATTTTTCTACTACTAGCTTATTATTAATACACATTTTCCATTCGAGTAGAATATGTCATTATCAATTTGCAACAAAAGTTTTTAATGTAAATATTAAAAATATCTAATAGAATATCAAAGTCGTTAAACTATTTTAAAAAGTTATTTCCACACATAATATTATAATGCTCAAATACTACATTTAGATAATATATTTCTTTAATGCGCCAAAAATGTTACCTATTATTAATCCAAAAGGGAAAAAAATTTTTTTACATTAAAAAGAGAGGGTTGTTCTCTCATGCAATTATAAAATGTTAATATGAAAAGATAACTTAAATAAAATTTTTTAATATAAAATACTTATGAGGAAAGAGATAAGAATCTGCGATTGCAAAAATTTACGGAGCGCACTTCATAGTTGGAATGCTATCCATTTTCACGTGAAAATTGAAAGAAATCCTTTTTGACGATTTACTTACAAGATGCTATATTTTTTCGTGTTTCGAGCAACGAAACAATAAGTTTATAATAATAATACATTTTTACAGTGTAACAACGAACTACACTATATCGTAAATGTATCGAAACAATTTCTTTTTAAACAATTATCCTGATACCTATTAATTTTTTAAAATTTTTAAATAACATACATTTTACATAAATAAATATAATAACATAAATAAATAAAATAACATACATTTTAAATAAATTTTTAAATGGTTTTTTTTTTTTTTTATCATCAATATAATACTTACTTTAGCTGTTCATTTAACATTATAATTCGATAATTTAGCATTCTAACATTATATTTTTAATTTTCTGTTTTTATTAAAACCATTTTTTTTTTAAATTGATTTGTAATCAAGCAACACATTAATATATTTCTTTTAGAACAAGACCTTCATTTACATTCATATACATAAAAGTAAAAGAATCTAATTTTGTCCAACGGCTTCTTTCGTATAGTTAGTTATGTTTGTATAGTGAAAGCGTTCTCCCTCCCCCCCCCCCCCCCCCCGCGCCGCGCCGCGCCGCGCAACCACCCCGCGCTCTCTCTCTCTTTCTCACTCTCTCTCTCTCTTTTACTGGTACGAGCGGTTTTTAGATATAGATATATAATTGAAATGAGTGTGCTAGTCTAGTATTATGATAAAAAAGCGTTCTACTTTTACAGAAAATATCTTTGTTAAATGTATGCAAACAATCTTATGAAGATTATTAATATTTATATAGAAAATTATATTTATATTTGTGATTATTATAAAAATAATTAAATCTTCTTATATTATTGGTAAAGAGTTAATTATTATTTGGTATTAAAATAGTGTAATAAGAAAATTAACATTTTCTAAAATATATGCCTTTATACTTTGGTATATTTCATTTTGATTGTGCCTCTATATTACATTCATTCTAGAATAGGTTTAATATAAAATTAATCGATTCATTTTTAAGGTATACCGAATTAATACGTTCAGCGTTTTATTCGAACGAACGATTGTTTTGCAAAAATATTGATTCTGATGGTCGATATTCAATGTTAAGTGATATTTAAAATTTTTAATAAATTAATTTCAATACTGATCAGAGTATGAGCAAAAATTTATGTTTGGCCTACTTCTAACAAGGATCCTATGCGTAAATTAACTTCTTCAAGGCTAATGAAAATTAAAATAAATATTATTTTACGTGCATGGTTCTTCTTTTTTTTTTTTTTCGATTTATCCATTTAATAAAACCAAATTGAAGGCTAATTACACGCGTCCAAATGTATATTTGATCAATTCATTTGAGTTGTGGACAAGCAATACGAAATTATGAAATACTCGATTTTTTTTGTATTGACAAATTTTGTGCAGCAATAGCGTTATTATTAATTGAAAATAGACGACGTTCTATTATAATCGGTGACATTTATATGTCAAGGTAAGCCATTTTTATTAGCATAAATTAATAAGTTTTAGAAAATCGCATTTGGATCATGCAAGACTTTTTGAAAACGAGTGATCAGGCATATATATAACTGCGTACGTGTACGTGCGTGAGTAATCTCTTAATTGATATAAGTCACGACAGATAGCGCTAACGCCCATACATACATACATACATAGCAATGCAATCTTATTGGCTAGATATGTGGGAGTGCGCTCGGTAAAGTCAATACATCTTAATGCAAAAGTTTCAAATAAAATTTTCAAATCTGTACCACTATGTGCTGTTGATCTTCCATTGGTTAATATAAATTATCATGTCATTCTCAGTCCATAGCCATTAAATAAATGCAACATTCTTTATTTATTCCAGCAAAGCCATAACTTTGATTAAGATTTTTATAAAATACAAAAATAATCATACTTCAAATTTAAAAATAGCCAACTTAAAGTTCATTAGATGTAAATCATTGGCAAATGCTGTTTTCGATCACATGTTGATTTAATATGGAACCGAGTAAATTGATGTTTACCATGTAACTACGGAAAATCAGAACTTATGCATTTTATTAACAGTCGCGTGAATAACTATTGTTTCCAATATCGTCTAGGACATTTTTTGAATGATTTGCATATTTTTAAACAACGTGTTCTCTATTGATGCCATTGGCGGTCAGTGAGTCACGTCTATAAATTAAAAAGAAAAAATTTTTCTTATATTAAAATGAGTTTTAATTTATTATTTTTCCTTTTTCCGTATCACTAATGGAAAATACGTTATAATCGACAAATTAAATTAGTTGTAATTACAGATTTATTTTTAATTTTCATAGCAAAATCCGACCTACAAATTGTATTTTATAAATTATTCTAAAAAGATTTTAAATTTCAATTCTTCTGTAAGGCTGTTGTTTTTTTTTTTTACGAAATGTCACAGCGAGTGAATAACTAATAATGAATTACCTATTTGTTCAGTATAATATGTATAATTTATTAGTCATATTAATATCAACAAAGCATTGGTATCAAGGTTAGTTTAAAAATTATCGATAACATTTAAAAGATAAATTCTGTAATAAGCTCAACTGCAATTTAATACTTAATTTATAATAATAAATTACGGAAAATTCATAATTATTTTAAATGTTTGAAACATTGACAACTAACTTGTGCTTAAAAAGTCGAAAAATCATATTTATTTTTAAATAAATATTCTATTAACAATTTGTATTATAAATATTAATATTTTCCAGTATTTTAAATACTGTATTATCATAAAGTATTATCAATGAATTTGTATAACTTTATATCTTATGAATTTACTTCGATGAAATGCATTTCATCCGTGTCTACGCAAATTTCATTTTAATTTAGATTATAATGTGCAATATAAAACTTTATAAAACTATTAATAATGTAATATTATTTTTTTGTTATATGATGTTATTCATATTCTATTAATTTATTAAAATTACTGGTAACTACAAAATTCAACAATGTATATGGGAAATGTAATTAAGATAATGTATTCAGTACATTATACGTGATGTCGTACACGTGTACCTACACATACCTACTAGTAGAAGACTGGTTGTGCATAAGTGGTAGCTACGTAGGTATATCACATTTATAATGCAAACAATAGAACGATATAACGTATATAAACCTAGTAAAATATATGTCTAATATATTTGCAAGACTTAAAACTATCAATAATTTATTTCGATTTTCTAGTGATATTCATAGCATATAAAGACAAACGTGTAGCTGCTCATTAGTCGAGTATATTAATGAAAAATTTATATGTATTTTCAAAGAAATTTGTTGAAACGTTGGTATATATTTGAAATATTGATAAGAAAAGAATCCTAATATCTTATAACAAACGCGTTGTTGTCACTTAAAAAAGTTGAAATGGCATCTTGATTATCTTATATACCTTGTGAGCTGGCATAATATAATTACTTTATTATTCCAATTAATATTGTATGTAATAAATTTTTAAATATAATTTTAAGAGAATGTATAATAAAATT